TGCTCTGCCAGGCCTTAACTGCAGGAGTCTTCACTTCCTGTTTGTTCTGGCATTTTACCTTCAGTTTTGCCTTTAGCAAGTGAAATGCATGCTCAATTGGATTGAAGTCAGGTGATTTGATTGGCTATTGCAGAATATTCCACTTCTTTGCCTTAAAAAAATCTGAGGTTGCTTTTGCAGTATGCCTCAGGTCACTGTCTGTCTGCACTGTGAAGCACCATCCAATGAGTTTTGAAGCAGAAGTTCTTCATCTGGTGAACTGTTGTGAAGGAGTATTTCTTCGCCATGAAAAGAAGTCTTCGATCATCCACCACAGTTGCTTCTGTGGGTTTCAGGGCCGTCTGGTGTTTCTGAGTTCATGGCCTGTTCACCAGCACATTCTTTTATTTAAAGAATGTACCAAATAGTTGATCATTTGGCCACACAAAGTTTTTTCTGTCTCACTAATAGTTTTATTTTGATTTTTCAGCCTAATGATGGCTTGCTTCACTGTAAGTAAAGGTCTTTGGATTTCATATTGGTAGTTAACAGCAACAGATTTCACATGCAAATGCCATACTTAAAATCAACTGTAGATCTTAAGTGAAATTATGACGGACACACCTGGCCATGGAACAGCTGAGCAGCCAACTGTCCATTTACTTCTGAGGGGCCCTTGTATGCAAATGGTTGTAAATCCTACACCCTTCACCTGATATGGAAGTAAATAACAATAACTAAAATAACAGTAACTTTGTCGACATTAATTATTTATGGACCAGAATTTAGTATGTATCTATGAACAAACCTGAAACTGGGCTGTAAAAGAAAACAGTGGTTTTGGCAATGGTTTTACTAGGTCTTTACCATTTAGTTAAGAAAATTATTTTTGTATTTTGTGCTGTCAATCTATGCCATATAATTACTCGGTACTACTTGTTTCCAATTTGCTTTCCTGCTTAAACATGTGATAATACATTGAAACTTGTATGTTTGTACTCACCAACTTGTTACTCTAAATAATTGAGACATTTAACTATGTCTGGTATCAGTTTCATAGCTAGAATTCGCTGTGTAATTTACACAAAAAATCAATCATCATTATACCCAAAATTACACAGAGTTTGTACCAAACACATACTCAGTGGATAACAAGAACCTGTTGGACATATCACTGTAATTAAGATAAACTGTGAAAAAATGTGGAACTTACCTAAATGTTACCTAAAATAATTATCTGATACCTTTGGTTTGTAACTTATGGGTATCTGGTTAATACGTAGAACTTGGTGGACTGTAAAAGAAAGCAATACTCATGCACTGTATGCTGTATTGTATCTCTTGGAATGACCGGATGTATCATATGAACATTAAAGATCATCATAAAACTTGTTTTGTAGCTAAATAACATCAACAGCTTGACTAATCATCACAGCCCTACATCCGTTGTATAGTACAAATCATTGTACCAAATCCAACCTTATCATGGAACACACAACGGACAGTACTTCTTAATTCTAGACAACATGCCACACCGATACACCTGAGCTGCTCTCTCCTGTTTGCCTTAGATTCTTGGCCAGATTATCGCGTACGCCACCCTGCTTTGATCCTCACCAGTTTTTTTTTTCTTTAGGGAGGACTCATTGAGCTCTTTTCAAGTGCGCTCTTGCTTCCTTTCATGCGACTGGAGCAGGGAGAGCGCCGTAGTCAGGGTCAGGGCGCCTCAGTCACAGATAAGGAGAGGAGAGCGCCAGTAGTCAGGCTTTACCTTCTCACCCCAGCCTGCCCCCTTTCCAGAGGTTAACCACTCGTTCCATGTACACCAATCCATACAGAGCAGTTCAGGGGGTGATCAGGTATCAGTTTTGACAAGGGCCACAGGCAGCACACAGGATGGATCCACTGGAATTGGCGTGTTTGAAGATGTGCTGACCCCAAATGGAGAGATCACAATGTTCCTGCCAATCATGGGTTGCCTAATGGAGACACTTGTTTACTTTGTGCTGTTTTTAATATTTTCTTAAGATTTTGTTACCTGTAATTGATCTTGTGAATGTAGCAAAAATGGATCCAGGGTAAAACTGACTAAACTCTTTTAGCTGACAGAAATTTCTGCATAATTGAGTAGTCCAAACCCTTTTCTCAAACCTACTGCAAAACAGTGTTTCAGACATCCAACAGTGTTTGATACACAACTTTAATGCACAATTACTGTTTATTTGCTTTAAAAAAAATTGTGGCCAGGCAGTTTTTATTATTTTCTTATATGTTAAACCGAGCAAATAAATAGAAATTGTGAACTAAAATTAGCAGACAGTGCCATATTTAAGTGTGTTCTCTGTAGAGGATGTTATTTTTACTTAGAAAATCCACAAAACGTAATTTTTTTACATTTGCATACAACTACTTCTACATACGACTACTTCACAAGGAGACAGTGTACAGCACAGTTATAGGAGTCCATATGAGGAATCTTAGTGACTGCTCATCTCCTCAGATTTAAAATGATTTATACATAATTTATTGCATCCGCTGCGGTGGAGCTTTCATTCACATTTTAATATCACTTTCATTTGCATATTGTGATGTAGTTTTTCACAATACAATAAAATATATTGACATGTTGCTCACCTCTAGCACTGAGGCAGGCCGGTGGACTGGAGAGGAGTCAGGCTTCACCTGCAGGCAGAGCCACTATAAGTTCTGGTGCCTAATTGTGTCAAAACTTTCCACTAAGACCGATATACCTCATCTACAACTCCATATTCCCCCCATATTCCTCTATTCTTTACTTTTTTAACATCTACAGAACAGTCGAAACACAGGAAACAAGATAGCTAGTGAAACTCTATTGTTAGCTAATGCTTATTCTTCAAAATTAATGTTTAAGGAATACTGTTCAGTTTAGTTTTGTGAGAGGTGTGCTTGATGCACAAAAAAGATTTAATAAAACAGTGCTTTGTTTTAAGTCAGGAACACAGGTATCTGGTATCATCTGAAGCTAAAGTGCAGTTTAATGGGACTGGTTTTCCATTGCAAGAGGTAACATTTATTGTTCTGCATGTGCAACACACATCTTCATGTTAAACAGGAGTTTTTTAGGGGATTTTTCTGCCAAGCCAGCTCACATTACATCCATGTGCTAATGACAGGCTTGCTGTCCTTACTTTGACCTCTGCCTTCATGAGGTGTTGAATTGGTATAGAAATTTTGCCATTTTGTTCTCACCCACGTTTAGCCCAAACTTTCTCATTGATGTTACCAAAGTTTCTTGTTACAACATCACTTCTGGCCCTGTGAGACAAGAGTTATGGAACAGATATTTGGTTAACAGTGGGGAAGTAAAAAAGGAGGCCTTTCACCTGATATTAACGTGTCATAACATACTTAACATGGTAAAGTGGTGCAAGTGCTAGCAGAGTAAGAAAAGTAGCACGGATGGAAATTCATAAGGGACATCAGAAAACCTAAAAACAGCTAAGGGAAAATGTTGCATGCTTTGCTTCAGTAACAGAAGCTACTCCTTCAGATGTGCTAATCAGCTAACATTACCACTTAGAGGGGTGTCCAGGTTCATTCTGACCAGGCAGGAGGCACACCTGATTCCACTTATTTAATCAGTTGGTCTCGGTCTTGTAGTAGTTGATCATTTGTGCTTTGTTGGAAAACAAATAATATGAGATCGGACAGGCCTGTGCTATATCTTTTTCTTCTCACCGGATGATGTGTCAGCTTGTCAAGGTAGAGAAATATTTTTTGTTTTGGTACTATCACCAGCTACTAGTTAACTAGTACTAGTTAAAGCCTAGTTAGCCTAGTTACAGTCACGCTACCTTTGTCTTCACAATCACATCCATGGCAACATGTTCATGTTTTGTAGTAGCAAAATATCATATAATATACTTACATAATCTTAAAAATGACCAAAACCGTCTCACTTTACAGCCTTGTTGAAACGTAACAGCAGTGCATTGAGTTGTTGGTCTGAATATTTTCTCTTTAACATTCTGTGATGCAACATAACGAGTACCCAAATAGTATCCAAATACTGGCATCTGGAATGGCTAACCACAATCTTGAGCACCCTTGCACATCCCAGAAGCCTCTTACTCGTATAGCAGTGGCACTCCTGCCCAAATTGGCAGTGAACCTTTGATTGTCCATGTGTTGGGTTTTGGTGGTATATACTGTATTGTAACATTGTGCGTTGGGTATGCCCTCTACTAGTGACTGTATGTGCATCTGTACAGAAATACAAATGGGGCACTAAGGAACCATGTCTCCACTGTTGCGAGCCTAAATGTAATCAACTACACCTAAGAGGCTAAGCCACCCTGGGATCTGCATATATTGGCATTTCCAAACACTAGCAGGATCTCTCCCAATGATCCACCCCAGTGTCCTCCTCAGTTTAGTGGCAGTAATGCTGCAGCCGCAGGAACAGCAAACAGCACTACATGAAGCTCTGGCAAACAGGCCTCCCCAATACAGACCACATGGCAGGTGTGAAATGGAATTAGCTCTGAAGCCCACCCTCTCAAAGCTCCTCCATAATGAACAAGCCAGCCAGCCATTGTCCCCCATTGATTCATATCAATTAGCATACATTGAAGAAAGCGATCTCTCCCCACTAGAGGCTTAAGTACAATGCGTCTGAGGCCTGGGCCCTGCTTTACAATTGGAGGTGCAAAGTGGTAGGAAGGCGTGTAGCAGTGTGACTGTAGGCCATAGTGGGGCTATGCTAGGATTAGTCCCTGTCTAGGTTATCTAGAGGTCACCAAGGGATTTTTACTTTTTGCATTTTAAGTGCCAGCTCTCAGCTTCCAACAAGTGCTCCAGAACTAACCCCCACCAGCAGCTCAAACGGCCCACCTCCCCCACCTCTAAAGCACAGCACATCACCTTTTTCAGTGAATTAAGATTAGCAGTAATACTAGCATTTTGTCTCCATGGTAATTGTCTTGTTTATTTCTGTCTGTGTTATAACTAGCTGAACCTGAGCTTTATTTGTTTTGCAGCTCCTGGACCTGTTCATGGTGTGGGACTGGTCCACTTACCTAGCGGACTACGGCCAGCCCACCTCGAAGTATCTTCGGGTCAACCCCTCTACTGCACTAGCACTTTTGGAAAAGTCAGTATTCATCTCATACATCACTCATATCAGTTGTGCTTCCCTCTGTTTTTTTTTCATTTTATATTTGAAGTCACTGCCTGTATAAAATCAGCATTCTAGGTTTGTTCTTACATAGATGTACACTCATTCAAAAGTTTGGCATCACTGTTTTCTGCAAAATTTAAAAACAAATATTGCAGATAAATGTAAAAATGATTCTAGTATAATGTTGCTACTTTGTAACTTTCAATTACAATTATTTAGCAGAAAGCTGTCAACAAAGAAGAAATGTTAAATGTGTCCAGAAAGATGAACAGAGCTGTAGACGATTCCTTAATTATCGAGAAAGCAAATAAAGTTATAATAACATTGACATCGAGAATGTATTGTATTTGAAACGTGATCAAATGTCAAGACAGAAAATTTGTCAAGAAATAGTAAGTGTTATTGATCATGTAATACATTTGTGGTGTTCCCAATAAGATATATTGAAATTTACACTGTATACGTTAATATTTTATAACAGCAATTATTAACAAGACAAGTGATTCCAAACTTTTGAACGCTAGTGTAGATGCTGTAAAGTTTTATGGTGGAACTTGCCCTTGTTTGTTAGCCCCTAATGTTGAATTTTCCTCCTCTTTTTTTCCTCTTTGATTGCTAACGCATACCAGAGTCAACAGAGGGTAGGTAGTAGAGTTTTCATTCTGGAATTCTCTCGTGGAATGTTTTTACCTACTTTCAGTGGAGTTCTGTGTTGCATGTAGACCTCAGAGTTTTGAGTGTTAAAGTCATAGTTTGGTTAAAAAAAAAACTGTGAATAAGTACAAATACTCTACATGGAACGCATGCATTAAAATGTGCAGAAGTGTGCTCTGTCGAGGATGTGTACTTATTTACACTTTAAAAATCAACAATACGTGTAAATTTACCAGGGGTGTCCAAATGTTTGCATAAGATTGTATTTGCCTTAAAGTATATGTTGTTATTAAGTAATCTCAGAAAGACTAGTGGGTGATTTACTTGGATCGTAAGAAGCAGAAAATGCAACTTCTAAGACTGAACTTAGCATGAGCTTCCATTACTTGTTAGCTTTATTAGCCTCAACTCCAGTGTGAAACTAGATTTTTAGGAAGAGACCTTCTTGGGTTACAGGCAAAAGGTATTCAGTTATAAGAACAGAGTGAAACTAACTGCATTTCGCTGAACAAAACCTCATATCTCCAAAATGAGAACTTTACAGGAAAAGAAAAAACATACCTTACATATAATGTTGGTCAGTGTAATGTTAGTCTAATGTAAGTCAGTGTAGCCTTTTTTTCATTTTGGGCCTTTTTTTTTGTTCATTCATCATGAAACTTGTACACAGTGTAAAGGACAACAGGCATTTTCAGATTATGACTAAAACTAAAAATCGCCAAAAAATGGAGATACAAGGTTTTGTTCCAACAGCAGTGATTTACATTTGCAGACTGCTTTTCCAGCCCAAAACTAGCATTTAACATTTTTCTCACTACAGTACCCAGCATGCATTACAAAAATCCACTGACATACTACTAATGTAGATGCTAATAACAGCTGTCAAACAGCCTGCCCGCAAAAATCAACCCCAGAATATTTGTTGTTTTTCAAAAGTTCCTCCCACCTTCAAGACGTCATCAGATGCGGGTTTTCTTCATCTTTAAACTGGAAAATCTCACTTTTTAGACTGTTTTGGCACAACTATAGGCATGTTTGCAGTAGATGTAGCATTGGTTACAGTTTTCATTGTGGCCACACTTTAACATTTTAACCACAGTCTATAGAATGCCTCGTAACACCTTAACCAGAAATCACAGAGATGGAATAGCAGTCACTTCTCCACAGCTAAGTTCTTTTACAAACTCATTAATGCTGTTAAGGAGGCAGCAGTGCTGTGACTGTCTCACACTAAAGTGTCTTATTTTTCCCCCAGGATGAAGGATACAAGCAAAAAGAACAACATTTTCTCACAGTTCAGAAAGAATGACCGCGACAAGCAGAAGCTGATCGAGACGGTGGTGAAGCAGCTGAGAAGCCTGGTGAACGGCATGTCCCAGCACTCCTAAACACCGCCTCCCTCCCAATGGCTGCATCACACCCCTCAGCTTTACCCCTGTTAATGGGCTTTATTTTAACAATGTGAAGGCATGGTGCGGAGTGTGACCAACACACTACGCTACCCCCAATTGTTAACTGAAGGCAAAGGCGATTTGTACAATGCTGTGCACAAGTCAGAGAACCCATCTAATTTTCGGTCAAAATGGCTATTAAGTACATTATTAATCTCTTCAGGAGATATATCTTCAGGAGGTTAGATAATAGATAATCCACTTGCTCTTGGGGAAAGTAAAAAAGTGAAAAAACAGGATTTTCTAAAACTAAAAAATACAGAGAAAATGGAACTACTAATAACCGTACAAGACCTGGTGGACCACCAAAACTGTCACTATCAGATAAACAGAAATTAAATCTTTCACCTTTGAAAAAGAGAGGATTACTTGGATCGTGAGAGGCAGAAAATGCTAAACCAACTTCTAAGACTGAACTTTGGAGGTGTGGAAAAGTATTCTTGCAGACCTCTTTGAAAAGCTGAAAGCAAATAGCCCTAAAAGCATGGAAGGTGTAATAACTGAAGAATGGACACTAAAATTTTGATAGTTGTTGACGCTTCTGTTCTGTTTTACTGCTGAAAATGAATAGCTTGTACTTAATGGCCATTTTCACTGGAAACTAAACAAATGAAGAGTCCACAGTGCCGAAGCTGCTCCTGGTAGTATGTTAACACAGCTGCATTCCCTCATGTACTAATGCCAAAATGTCTCCCACTGTGTCACTTCCCATTTTTGACTGAATTGATCTTGTAAATATGGGACGAACAAACGTGGGAGGAGGGAGGCAGTTGACTGAACACAACAAAGCAGTAATTTTTTTTTGTAATGTATTTTTAATGGCTGAGAATTATGTTTTTATATTGTGAAAGTGAAATGATTGTATTGCTACAGTGGAGCGTGTTCAGAGTGCAGGTGTGGGAATGCGATGCAAGGGATGATGAAGTCCACCTACGAGACTGATGTTCACATTGATATTGAGATCTTTTGAAATTCTCCATAGTGTAACAGGGGATGTCATTTTTACTGTAAATATTTTTAAATATATAACACTACTGTTAAATCATGCTTCCCACTGGTTTGGTTTTAGTGAAATTAGGCTCCGATTAGGTGTCCGATTTGCATGAGTGTTTTTCTTTTCTTCTATTTGAAGACCAAGGGACCTTTTAATAAGTTATACGCTTAATTCAGAACCTCATATAAGGGAATTTGTCTGCTCCATTTCATTAGACACAGTGTACAAAGCAGCAGTTAGTTGCTTTGTGTCTACAAATGCTCCATAGAGTTGTTTTATTACATTTTTATTTCCTCAGGGTGAAACGAAATCTTCTCAGTTTAAATGCTTTAGCATCCCACACTAAGACAAAACTAAAAGAGCAATAACTGATCTGGCTACAGTCACCGCAACCTGTATTTCACATTTAAAACGATTTTATGATTGAGTTGTCCTTGGTTTTTCAGCAGGCATTTTGCACTGAATATTATTTGTTTGCTTTTCGGAAAAAAAGTGTGTATATATATATATATATATATATATATATATATATATATATATATATATATATATGTGTGTGTGTGTGTGTGTATGTATATATATATATATATATATATATATATATATATATATATATATATATATATATATATATATGCTTCTGTAATTACAATGTCATTGTACATACCACTTTTTTTTCTTAAAAAATGGAATGTAGGGATTCTCTACATTAAATTCAGGGAAGGGTTATTCCATTCCATAAATCTGAACTATGTAAAGTAGATTTCGAAATTGTATTTAAAATTCTCAATGATGCCACATGTGTTGTGAGAGGTTAAGCTCAGTTTTTCTCCTCGGTTTGTGTCATGGCTGAAACACAATAAGCTACTTAAACCCCTCCTGCATCATTTCAGTGTCAAAAGAGAAAAATGTCCAAGAAATGTCAAACTGGCAGTTAGCTGTAGCATCTCTGTAGCGCTCCCAGTAACTTGTTTCCAGAATCTATTTGTTTTTTCTTTGTGTGCTTTAATAAAATGTGGATCACTGAAATGCTTGTGTACTGCGTCACCTAATTCTATTCTCCTTGAAAACTATGGATGACAAAAACGGTCTTTCTACACTATGTAGACAATACAATTAGATTAAATTGCATTAAACCAACAATGAACACCCAGCAAGAGTCTTGCATCAGCCTAAGAGTATCTTTAAATGAAAAGACAATTCCTAAGTAAATAAAACCTGTAATGAACTCAATGCTCCATCAAGGTGATTGCCTTATTACACCCTCCCTCAACCAGTATGTGTGGGAGGATGTAGCCTTTTGTCCAGACTTAACTGCAGTCCTGTTTTACATTAGATTCACTGCACCATCATTGGTGAAGGTGGAACATTAATTCCACCAATCTTTATAGCAGTGTTGTAAAACTGGAGTCCAGTCTCGAGATAAAATTAATTGTTCTCGAGACAAGCTGAGTGCAGTGCCTTCATCTGAGGTGTTTTTTTCCTATTATTATTAAATATCAGCAACACAACAACAAAAAAATGTTCACTGCCAGTTGAGTATCTAATTGGTCCTCTTCACGATGCCTTAACTTTGTATTAATTGTGTCTGTTCATTGGTTCTGAAATTCACACATCTCCATAATGTCATTGATAATAATATTGTTTTGTTATTATTATTATTATTATTATTAATGGATGTATGTTGTTTTGTTTATAATCAGTTGACTTTAGGTGATGATTCTGAATAAATTTTTTAAGAAAAAGAAACAGAATAACCACACCATCATTTACTTCCAAAAGTTACAATGCATTTTGTTAGATTATACAAAATATAAAATGTAATATTGTTTATTAATATATCATGTATAATAAATAATGAACACTAATATTTATCAATACATATATTGTATAATGAATGATAATGTATAATGTAGTGGATCAGACACAGCAGTGCTGCTGGAGTTTTTAAACACCTCAGTGTCACTGCTGGACTGAGAATAGTCCACCAACTAAAAATATCCAGCCAACAGCATCCTGTGACCACTGCTGATGGACTAGAGGATGACGAACACAAACTGTGCAGCAGCAGATGAGCTATCGTCTCTGACTCTACATCTATAAGGTGGACTGACAAGGTAGGAGTGTCTAATAGAGTGGACAGTGAGTGGACACAGCAATTAAAAACTCCAGCAGCACTGCTGTGTCTGATCCACTTGTACTAACACAACACACACTAACACACCACCACCATGCCAGTCTTACTGCAGTGCTGAGAATGATCCACCACCCAAATAGTACCTGCGCTGTGAGGGTCCATGGGGGTCCTGACCACTGAAGAACAGGGTAAAAGGGGGCTAACAAAGTATGCAGAGAAACAGATGGACTACAGTCTGTAATTGTAGAACTACAAAGTGCACCTATATAGTAAGCAGAGTTGATAAAATGGACAATGAGTGTAGACACAAGGAGGTGGTCATAATGTTATGCCTGATCGGTGTGTGTATATATACATATAATTTATATTCTGAAAAAAATCTTAATCTAGTCTCTGTCTTTTTTTTCGTACTGGCCACTCCTGGTCTCAGTCTTGACTCAAACTCAATTACCACAAAGCCTAGGTCTTGACGCTGACTTAGTGTGTACAGTTCTTGGTCTTGACAACTACAGTAATTTATAGAAAAACACAAACACCACATAATGCCACTTAGTCACAAGAAGCCACAAAGTAGCCTACAATTCTAATGGTTCCAGATCAGTCACATTAGCTAGACTGATCTATGGCTAACTAATCTAACTGAATCGACAGCCGGTAACTGAAAACTGGAACAGCCCAGTTCAGTTCAGTCCAGGTGAAGCCAAAGAAAATCAATAGCAACAACTTCTTTTGTCTACAGGAGCCAAATGGAATCTTGTGCAGCAATGCATCCTTCCGCCTCATTGGTTTGACAAAATCCACGATTTTGTATTCTTTTTTTGTCCATCAAGATTCTCTCACTACAATACCCACTATGCACCATGCAAATACATCACGCAACCATCAGGAATTTCATCCAGCCCCAGTGCTGCTCATACCCAATTGTTTGTGGTATTCAAGCAAATGAATCAATTGCTTCAATCTGTTTTGCAAATTGGGAAAACATAAAGCACTAAATGTGGCCTGTGTGGCCAGTATTATTCTAATATTGTTAAATGTGTCACTTGTCTGGGAATGTTCAAACTTCTGTATATGGCAGAGCACATATGCGCATATATATTAAAGCAATAAGCCACGAGAGGCCATGGGTTACTGCGATTTTATCACAAGGAAGTGTGTTCTTTAAAAATCCCTTCCCCGTCATAAAATTGCAGTAACGCACTGCCTTGAGTGGCTTATTGCTTTTACCAAACGGCAGCCAACATAAAATCTATTAAAATGCACAATATTTTAGATAATTATTTTAGTATTATTAATAACAATCGACACAAACAAGTATTCCGCCAAGAAATGTAGTTCCTTTAGAGTACAGTATCAGTGCTCAGCAACCATGGACCGCTGAATGAGAACATTCAATCACTGTATATTGCAGACATCTCATGATTTTTTAAAACTTTTTTTGTATAACAATGAACATATGTAACATAGCACTGTTTAACGCACCTTTCAGTTTATAAGTACTTTCTGGTCACCAAATTACCACCGTGAGTCTTCTTCTGCCAGTCTGACGATGCCACTTTTCTCACGCTGGGGCCGAATCTCAAACAGCTTCCTACAAAGTGCACTACGTAAAAATTTAAATACTGACTCCTGCACCCCAACAATGGAAAAAAATCGTTAAAAATGGTCATTTGGGATTCATCCACACTCATACTCGACAAGCAATGCACTATTTGACAGCAGAGCTAGCATTTCTAAACTTAATGTTACACAGCACACTATTTAGCAAGGGAGTACGGAGCCAGTTGGGATTCAGCCTGGGTTTGATGCTACTTCTGACTGAAACAAGACATTTGAAGCATGTAAGCCATTCAGGTGACATTCTTTAGACTTTTATATAGCCGCTTTTCAGTGTTTTTCAGTTTTTATCATATCGTAAGTAATTCAAACCTGTGATATTAATGTTGGTGTTGTTTAGCATGTTTGCTATCTTTAAATTGAGGCCCTCAATTTAAACAAAAACAGGTTCTTACTATATCAGTACACTCTGTGCTCCATGCGATCAGCATTACAGTCAAAGATTAATCCATTAACAGCAGAAGGGTTTTTTGTGCCATGGCACTGTAATAAAGAGTTCAGTTGTTGTGAGGCAGTCATAGCCATGGTATACCGTGGATTTTACAACGTTTTTGAACTTGACTCAGCCAATCAGGACCAGAACTATCTGTTTTATAAATATAAATAAATAAATAAATACATATATACATATATAAATTTCTGAAAAATGCATTCCTTGCGATGTAAACAGAGTCATTTAGAGTGGTTTGATATGAAATGGTTCATTGTAGAGAAACTTACAGACTCTGATTTCTGCAGTGGTGGTGGACTATTACCACAAATAACACAGAAATAGCCATTTTATTGTATATGACTCAGTATGTTTCTCCAGAACAGAGCTTTTCACACCAAACCACTCTAAAAAGACTTTGTTTACATCTTATCCTTTTAAGTATACAGGATTTTTGAAAAATTGGTGGAGTTCTCCTTTATTTTGGTTTGAGGGCACAAAACCAAGATAAAGGAGAAAAAAAAACAACTTTTTGTAAGTTTGCGTTTATTCTGTCTGTGACCTAGAAAAGTGAAAAAAGACTTTTTTTTACTTTTTCATGTGTCTATCAGCCAAAAAATAAAAAAAATCCACCCCTAGCTAAAAAAGTCACATAGTGGAGAAAATTAAATTTTTTGGCCATTTTCATACATTTCCATTTTCATGAATACACTTTAATACACACACACACACACACACATATATGTATATATGTATATATATATATATATATATATATATATATATATACATATAATATCAAATCCATATTAGGTGCATGATAGTCACCAAAAACAAAATATTTTACACTTTTTTAATTTCACCATTAATAGTGTTACATATGAAAACTCGGTATGTGTTGGTTAACATGCATGCAGGTTGTTTTGTATAGTGAATAAAATGGCTATACAAAACAACCTGCATGTGAACCAACACATACCGAGTTTTCATATGTAACGTATGCAACCACAGATAGCTTAATTCCATCTGTGACCTAGAAAAATTATACACGTGAGAGAAAATGACATTTTTTACGTCAAGTCTGTCAGCCTATCGTCACGTTGTGGGGAAAAAAGAAAAAAAAATCTATTTTAAAAATCCTTCCTATCTTAAAAAGTTACGTAGTGACGTCGACATTAATTCTGTCTCTCACCTCAATCCTAAAAATATAGACGTATCTGTAGTGTGAAGGTGAAGTCACATGGGGTGGTCAGAGAAGGTCCGCCACCCCAGCTCCAATTAAAACTTTTTTCACACAAGTGAAAAGCTTGTTTTATCTCTTGACCCAATTAGAAGATCGTTGTACTGTCTTTAATTGCGCCCTTCTTCTTTTTTCATGATTGACAGCCAGAGAATAGATCGCACTGCGGATAATTGCTGCCTGCTATCTCGTTATTTGACGGACAGTGAACTTGGCGAGCTCTGCGCTGGAGTTCACAGAGATGTCAGGGTCCGCCTTGTAGGTCACAAGCGGGTCAGCTGCTTTAGGAACTGAAGGAGGAGAAACCGGGTGGGGGTTAGGAGGGATCTCCAAACGCGAGGGCTGTTTTTTTCCACCCGTTTTACGACAGACTCCGCCTTCCTGAGCTACTGGCTGAAAACTGCAATGTGGTGCATGTTTTTTAGCTTTATCACACTGTATTTCCCTTATTCGTTTCTCCATTAAACTGAAATTCTAAAATGACCTCAGCGGCAGCGAGAGCTACGCTAAATCAGGTCGCCATCGTCACTTTATTACCTGTAATATTGCATTATTCCATAAAAAGTGGTGAGTTTCGGTTAGTTGTCAATTCTTATATGTAATGATTTGTAAGGGAACCAATGAGTGGTTCGTGACTCCTACAGACCTGCATTATTTGGTTAAAAGCTGAAATGTAAAGCCACTGTGTGCTCGTCATCACGAGCAGCCTCAGAGCGGTTGGCGTGGTTTGTCTGAATACGGGTGGAGAAATCAACAGCGCGCCAGCCAATCATAGCCTACGAGGCGGGGCTTATGAGGAGCGAATTTCAACGTATCCCGCGTCCTTGTACAATCACATTAGAATCTGAAATGGGCAGTACAACAAAATTATCCACGAATTCTCCCGTAGGTCACGACGTCTGAAGTAATAAAGTGATCTTGTCGAAAACACGTAATTTTGCGCATGTGTTGGAAATTTAGGTTCACTTCCACTAGCTTTCACTCATTTGGCCACTTAAGTTTGAGTGCATTACCAACAGTACTGAGTGACAAAGTTTTCAGTGTCAGATAAGCACCAACTTTGTTTATTTAAATGGGAATTTGACCGATTTCCCCCCATTTTTGCGTAATTAAATGGTTCAGATGTAAACAGTTATTGAAAGTTATTCAGAGTTGTTTGATGTGAAAAGCTACATTCTGGAGAAACTTAGCGCCAGAATTGTTCATAGTGGTGGTGATAGGAACCAGACGTCCGAAGCCATCTCACATAAAGTTATGACATGAAATAGTTTTGTATATGCTTCCTGAGACACTGTTTTATGTCCCATACAGAAAATAAATATATAGGCATATATTATTATATATTTTTAAGATATTATATATTTTTCAGATGTACCACTATTTTACCACAATCAACACTACATTTAAAACCAAGAAAATGTATAGATTTACTGGTCGTTTTGGGTAGTAAATAAAATGGTTATATTTAAGTTGTAGACATCACACACGACCCCTGGTTCCCATCACCACCACTGTAAAGAAAATCAGTCCTCACGTTTCTCTAGAATAGAGCATTCCACATCAAACCGCTCTGAATAACCTTATTTCCATCTCAATGACTGAATTATGCAGAGAATTTGAGACAAACTGGTGGAATTCCCCTTCAAAGGTGTGAATGAACTATACTTGAACTTCAGGTAGCATGCTTGTGGGCAGAGTAGCTATTAGTGCCAGTATTTCGCACATTGTTAGCGATTCTTCAGAGGAAAGAAGAGGCACGATCATTACAGGATTCACAGAGAAGACCAAGTCTGAGAGATTCGAGTCGTGTTTTAAACAAAGTAAACACAGCAATGGCCGCCTAACGGTTTAACACGCGAATGCGCTGTTTAAATAAACACATGCCCTAAAATAGCCTCCAGACACGGAGATCTCCTGCACTTCGTACTCATTCACGCCATCAGGAGCTCAAAGAAACTGAAAGGTGAAATGCGGGGCAAATGCTCCAGCAGCTAACTGTTCTCAGATCGAGAAAGAGGAAATCCATAAAGTTCGCTGTGAAATCTGGAACCCTTCTGTCTCACTGGCTGCCTTATCCTCGGTGCCCCGCTCCTCGTTACAGCAGTCGTAAAAACAGTGCTGTGGGTGAGTTTAGCTTGCTGTTTACTCTTCGTGTACCGACAACCTTGTTCCACTCCGTCACTCTTTAAGCTGACCCAGGTTTGAACCCGCCATCATATTCTTTTATATCCACATGTGAGACGTAGTAACTGCGAGTCAGTCCAGGGTTAAAGTCCAGCACTGCGGTTCTAACTCGGATTCACCCTCACCAGCCTCGACAAATAAGCTGAATTAGCTTTAGTCAGCCTGCACCTCTTCATATCACAGGTTCGAGCAGCCGGCTCCTCTTTAAAAAGATGGTTCTTCGAGGGTTCTTTAGTAAAGGCAGTAATTTTATTAAGAACCATTAAACCTGTATAGAACCATTTCATGCTTAAATGGTGAAACTGTTCTTCAGAACAATTATGTGTTGTACATGGTTCTATATAGAACCTTTTTGAAAATGGTTTTATATAGCACCAAAAGGGATAACTTTTTGGTGCTATATAATGTCAAGAACCACATACAACACATTCTTCTTCAATCTGAAGATCCATTTCACCACACAAAGAACAATTTAAGCATGGAAATGGTTATTTGAGTGTTCATGGTTCTATACAGAACCACTGCCTTTGCTAAAGAAACCCTGAAGAACCATTTTTAAGAGTGTTGTAACAACAGAAGAACGCTTTTTGGGGCTATATAGAACCACTTTCAAAAAGGTTCTATTTAGAACAATGTACAATACATTCTCCATCAATCTGAAGAACCATTTTTCCATGCAAAGAACAATTTAAGCAATGGTTCTTTGAGTGTTCGTGGTTCTATACAGAACCATTCCCTTTACTAAAGAACCCTTGAAGAACCATATTTTTTTAAGAGTGTTGTACAATAGGAGAACACTTTTTGTGCTATATAGCACCATTTTCAAAAGGGCTATATTTAGAATGTAAATATAAAAGAGGGATTCTATCATTTTATCAAAATTTTGTCTTCCCTCCAGTTCCAGCCAAAGTTTAAACACTGAAGGGGAATTCCACCATTTTTTCAGAGCGGTCTGATGTGAAATGTAGATAATTAATTGTAGATCATTTTCTTTACAGTGGTGGGGATAGGAACCAGGGGTTGTGATGTCTACAAGACAAATAGTTGTATTTGCTATCCAAACAACATGTGAACCCACATATCTTTTGAGTTGTTACATGTAGTGTTGATAATGGTAGAACAGTGATAAATCTGAAGAATTAAGCTTTATTTGGGGATTATTTTCTCTTACAATGCCCCACCTATGGACCTGCAAATATATTTTAGATCATTTCAAAACTATTCTGTAACAACAACATCTCAGGCATTAGGTCACCGTTTAATGAACTGAAAAAGTTGGCTTTTAGAGGCATTAAACACTACACGTCATCTGAGTTTTAAATGTGATGTTGATGATGGTAAAATAGGCAGAAATCTGAAAAAAAAAATCTTTGGGGGCTATTTTGCCTTGTAACACCCCGCATGCACCCCCTCCACGATGAATGGATTAAAATAAATGAATTAAAATACATTTTAAGCCAAAAACCTCACAAAACTATGGCCATCTTACCATTACATGTAATAACTTTATGTGAGGGAGCTTTCAGAGGTGGACGCCTGGTTCCTATTACCACCACTGTGAACAATTCTGACTCGGTAAGTTTCTCTAGAACGGAGCATTTCACATCAGACCACTCTGAGCGACTTTGTTTACACCTCAACCATTTAATTATGCAGATTTTTTTTAATTGGTGGAGTTCCCCTTTAAAGCCCAAAGAAGCCAAGCTCTTTCGCCTTTGTGTTGGGAGGGGGGGCATTAACACCTTTTCAAAGTGCAAATCCTCTGGATTGTCTGGGCTTCTACAAGAGGTGCTGCTATTAAAATACGCCTATAACAAATGGCGCAGAGTTTTAAAGTAGAGGCGGCTCCTTGGCACCGTGGGGCGGGGCGACACCCACACCGCAATTAAAGATGAACTTTGCGTGAACTAATTTATCTGAGCAAGGTAACAGGAGGCCGAGACGCAGGGAATGGGTATAAAAGGGGTGAGACCTTCGCAGTTCACAGCCAACAGTCTCTCAAATCTCTTACTATGGGTTTGTACACTTTACTGGTAACCTTGCTCTGCACGGTGGTGCTCCCGGTCCTGCTCTTTCTGGCCGCGGTGAAGCTGTGGGAGGTGTTGGTAGTCAGAGGGATTGATCCGGGCTGTGGAAGCCCCCTTCCTCCAGGGACCATGGGCTTACCGTTCATTGGAGAGACACTGCAGCTCATCCTGCAGGTAAAGTGAGGGTCTGCTGTGTGTCCATGTTGTGGCATAGCTTTCCTCTTTTTTTCCACTAGAGTTATACTGACATTTGTAGGTTATTGCTTTGGTTCCTTCTCATAGCCCGTGCTGATCATGCACTGTGTTCTCCTGATTCTCAGAGGAGGAAATTTCTCCGAATGAAGCGACAGAAATACGGATTTATCTACAAAACGCACCTATTCGGTAACCCCACTGTCAGAGTGATGGGCGCTGATAACGTGAGGCAGATTCTGCTGGGGGAGCACAAACTTGTTGCCGTTCAGTGGCCAGCATCGGTCAGGACCATCCTGGGCTCTGATACGCTCTCCAACGTCCAAGGCAGCCAGCACAGGAATAAGAAAAAGGTAAGGACGCTCTCATTCTCCAGATAAACGACTCTTCTTAACGTATTTGAAGCGTTTTATCTACATGTTTTGTACAAGGCTGAAGTTGGTTTTCTATTCGCCAGCTTCTTGTTCGAATTTTCCCGTTGCACATTAAATGGTGCTGTAGTTCTATCTATCTATCTATCTATCTATCTATCTATCTATCTATCTATCTATCTATCTATCTATCGAAATACCTGTGGGGCACGGTGCGCTGACTGCGTCTTTTTCAGGCGGTGATGAAGGCTTTCTCTCGGGATGCTCTGGAGCACTACATCCCGGTAATCCGGGAGGAGGTGCGGAGTGCCGTGCAGGACTGGATGCAGCGCGTCCCCTGCGTGCTCGTCTACCCGGACATGAAGCGCCTCATGTTCCGCATTGCCATGAGGATCCTCCTGGGCTTCGAGCCAGAGCAGATCAAGACTGACGAGCAAGCGCTGGTTGAAGCTTTTGAGGAAATGATCAAGAACCTGTTCTCCCTTCCCATTGACGTCCCCTTCAGCGGCTTATATCGGGTAAAACACAACATTTAGTGCCTAAAATATCTATTAAAGAGCTCGTTTTTTTCTGTTTTACTAATTGTTTCTCTTAACAGGGCCTGAAAGCACGAAACTTTATCCACGCCAAAATAGAGGAGAACATCAAAAAGAAAATCCAAGATGGCGACAACGAAAACGAGCCAATACACAAGGACGCGCTTCAGTTGTTGATAGAAAATAGCAGAAAGAGTGACGAGCCGCTTAGCATGCAGGTACATTTTTTTTGCTCATAGTTTGTAGAGATTGTATCTTGACTAAAACTCGTTCAGGGATCTAACGAATGTATGTTTGTTTGTTTTTTTGAACCCTCAGGCGATGAAGGAGTCAGCAACTGAACTTCTCTTTGGAGGCCATGAGACCACGGCTAGCACAGCAACCTCTCTGGTGATGTTCCTGGGGCTGAATCCTGAGGTGGTTCAGCGAATTAGAGACGAGCTGAAAGAGAAGGTAAGACCTTTTACCTCTGTGGAACACATTTTGTGTGACAAATTATGGATGGACACTGAGCCGCTCTTCTTTCTCCCACAGGACGTTTTAAGTATGCACTCACCTGGAAAGGCTCTAAATATGGAGCTACTAGAACAACTCAAGTACACTGGGTGCGTCATCAAGGAAACCCTCAGGATTAATCCACCTGTACCTGGGGGATTCCGCGTGGCACTCAAAACCTTCGAACTTAATGTAAGTTAACATTTCATACAGTATTCTTTATCAAATTGATCAGTCTCTGGTGATGTAAAAGAGAACTGAACTGTGAATAGTAAGGGGGTGTTCTTTTAAATAAAGGAATTGAGTTAATTTAATAGCACATTATCATGGTCTTGATCTTGATATCTGTCTGCTGGGAAGACTCACCTATGCTACAATGACTAGTCATCTTTAATCATCTCTTCCCATCTTGTGCTTTCTCCAGGGCTACCAGATTCCTAAAGGCTGGAATGTCATTTACAGCATTTGTGATACACATGATGTCGCAGATGTCTTCCCTAACAAAGAGGAATTCCAGCCAGAGCGATTCATGACCAAAGGCTTGGAGGACAGTTCCAGGTTTAACTACATCCCCTTTGGAGGAGGTTCCAGAATGTGTGTGGGCAAAGAGTTTGCCAAAGTGCTGCTCAAGATATTTTTAGTTGAGCTAGTACAGCAGTGCAACTGGACACTTTTGAATGGACCGCCAACAATGAAAACAGGCCCAACTGTGTACCCTGTGGACAATCTTCCCACAAAGTTCAGCCCTTACATCAGCAATTAGTCCATTAAATCGGCTATAAGATGCTAACATGAGCATTGTACATAGGCATATTTTAATTTTCTAGATGAAATGTGATGTATGACATTTTTATATTTGGTTTATATAATAAATCTGTATATAAATCCATTTTTAACAAAGGGCACTACTCTTACATGGATCGCTGTATTTCTATGAGGTATCTGTGATGTATATTTGTAATGTAGCTTTGTTTTTATATATATTTAGTGTTTTGTACTGAATGCAACTTATTTAAATTACTCTTTGCTGTATGGACTTTATTTAATAAAACATTGACAATATTGCACAAACTTTGTTTCTTTATTTTGAAAACTGGAATCTGTTTAAACATGTTTGAAACCCTTGCCCAAAACAACACTGAAACAGAAACTTGTGTGTGTGTATGTGTATTAGCATTGCCAAAAGCAGTATACCCAGTTATGTGGTACTGGCTTAATGACAGATGAAATAAAGCAGATCAGGCATCAAAAAATGTTGGCATTGTCACCATAATATGGCATTGTTTAGCTGCTTGATGACATGGAGTTAACATGCATCAGTCTGGGAAAGATGTGAAAGTTTTCTCACTTTCAGTAATGAGGGATGTATACAGCAAGGAGAACTGGCTATAACGCACACTCAGTAAGATCAAAATGGCTAAAGCACTGTAATTGTAGTGTATGTAAAAAAAAAGCAGATGGTACAAATTCTATTCACTGAAGAACAGCTAACATCAATCAGTATGACAAAGCAGCCCTTTAAAGAAACAGAAGTGAATACAGGGTCCATAACTTGATAAGATCTCTTGACCACCAGATGCATTTAATTCTGAGATTTGTAAGCAGAAGCTATTATACACTGATTTAATTTAATCTCATATGGAGAATTACCCATTAATTGAACTCATCAGGCTAGACTGTTTCCAAAGAAAAATATTGAAAACAAGAAGTCTACGGATCATCAAAAGGAACAACGTCCACAGCCCATGTCCATTACTCTGAAAAATAAATGGGTGAGAAGCCTGGGAGCAGAACGGAAGCTCCACAAGGATAATAAGCAGCACAGTGTGACATCAGCGAGAGCGGCCGCTGTGAAAGAGGGTGGTGGAGAGTTCACACCAGAGAGGAAAGGAGAAGGAGGATGTGTTTGGCAATGTCGCAACTGCTCGCCGTGCCGTATTTTCCACAACAGAGCAGTTCCTTGTGAATGCTGGAACAGGAGGTGGCTTGAATGGAATGATGAAGGTCTAACGCTATAGAATAACTAGCTTAAGTGTGGCCTCACCCTCTCGCAAATGCATCAAAGGAGCAAAATTTCACAAATTACAACATTAAAGGAAGAAGACGATAGAGGTGGAGAGGGCTGCCTGGGCGGGCTTGTATCCCAGCACACAGGGGTCATGTGGAAGGGACTTGTCCTTGCGTGACACTTGGAAAGAGAAAGAGAGAGAGAGGGAAAGATTCAGAGAAGCATTGGCGGCCTGGCAGATGCCTCTGTTAGCCATTTCTCTACCCCGTCCTACGAGCTCCTGATTTACATCCACCCAACTGCATAGCTGACACCTTTATGTCCAGCCGTCCTATCCGAGCAGGCCCGGGCCCTGTGATAGATGCAGCTGAACTTTTCCTCCTATCACCTTGTAAAGAACCTCCGCCCAGCCTATTGTTTAACATCGAGGGGCGACAAGAGAACTTTTTATTCTCAGAGCCATTTTTTTGTCTACATTTGTGAGCATATACAGAATTTACAGCTGCCAAATGCAAGCCATTTCAGACTCTCTTGTTTTTATGCAGTTCCTCAAGCCTTGGGTCAAGTAAATCAATGTAATTGCAGCTGGACCTGTATCGTAACAGTTCCTGTTCAGGCACTGTGTGGAGAAAAGAATGGCTGTTTCCACACTAGCCCTGAAAACAGGAGCTTTCTTACCTCTAAAAAAACAAAAACAAATCCTCATGCCCATCTGGGCAGAATTCTGAAATATACTGTGCTGGGATAGAAAATCTCACTTTTAAAGACCACAATTAATTTGTAATCTGAACTCTACATGACTCCTCATGTCCTGTCCCCTGAGAAATGACACCTTTAGTGCCCCAGCAAGTCTAATGTGCACTTAAGCATAAGTAGCTCCAACTAAACTTAGCTCAATGCTATAACAAACGGGGTGTAAAAGAGCTGTTCCACAGACAGAGACATGGCACTCCAGCACCAAGGTGCAAATGGCTTTTTCATTATCACAAAAGTCAATTCGAACGCTCCTAACAGCATTTACATGTCTGCTGCACTCTTGCCCTCCTCCCGAATCATATCAGATCGTTCCAGTGCTCATTTGGATTACCTATTAGTGGCCCGCTGCTATTATTTATAATCAAGTGGGGGCTTTTCATGGGTCTCAAGGGTCAGGAAAAGTTCAGTCATTTACAAAAAGAGGCATGACCTCACAGGCACGTTAAATTGTCCATTTCTCAAGAGTTTGAGCTTCCGCAAGTCCTATATGTGTCTGTCCATAAACAAATGATAATGAAAATGGATTTGAATTGCCTCGAAATGCCCATGAGGCGTAAAAAGAAAAGAACGGGTGAGACTATGGAAGGCAGTGAAATACATCACTCTGTAAATGAAAACGACTCAATTCATGGTAAAACACCACATAATGAAGAAAAAGAAGAAAAATCGGATCCCAGTAATGGTTGGAAGTTAAACAGCCCACATGGCTGGTGAATTATCAACAAAGGAATGAACACACCAAAGCCTCAAGGTAAAGGATGAGCTATGTACATACATGCTGCCCCTGGTGACCGTCAAAGCGGACACAATAGCATGTATTACTAAAATGAAAAATAAAAATGGTCTCCAAAAAAGTTATTATAGGTTTTCTTTTCCTGACTGCAAGTTACAATGAGTGGTGAATGATTTCATTTGCTGAAAGTGCAAGGGGCCACACCCCGACACGCTTCAAGTGGCATCATTCTTCAAGCCTGCCGAGCACAGCTTTCTCAGTTTTCAGTGAAACAGAAGCTTGAACGATAGCTGTGTCCCATTTACCTGCTAGAATAACAGAGGAAGACATTGATAATAAAGCCAAACAAGTAAAAACAAATTCCTCAAGTTCTTTTGGGAAGGAAACTCTATGAAGATTAATGGCTTGTACCTGTAGCTTGTCAGGTTAAGTGGCATGACTCTCACTATGACTCTCACTTGGATTGCTGGACTGCCTTCATGTCTGCCCATCGATCAAACAAATGGATCTTCAACCAAATTAAGCCTCACCTTTCACTTGAAACCCAGATAACCAAACTAAAGCTTATTTTATCTTATTTTTCATATATTAGGAGAAGAACCAACTCATTGAAAAAGACAGTTATGTTTAAAACAGTTGAAGGTAACAGAAAAAGAGGACGACCAGCAACAAGATGAATGGAGACAATCAGAGGAATCATAAACAAGCCATGAAGAAGCCTGAAGGCAGAAGACTGGAGAAACACTATCCATATGGCTGTCAGGTGTCGGAATTGACTTGGGGGACATGTGATACCTATATTTAAGCCACATACACCGATCAGGCATAACATTATGACCACCTCCTTGTTTCTATGCTCATTGTCCATTTTATCAGCTCCACTTACTATATAGGTGCACTTTGTAGTTCTACAATTAGAGACTATCGTCCATCTGTTTCTCTGCATACTTTGTTAGCCCCCTTTTAACCTGTTCTTCAGTCGTCTGGATCCCCATGGACCCTCACAGAGCAGGTATTATTTGGGTGGTGGATCATTCTCAGCACTGCAGTAACAATGATGTGGTGATGGTGTGTTAGTGTGTGTTGTGCTGGTACGAGTGGATCAGACACAGCAGTGCTGCTGGAGTTTTTAAACATCTCAGTGTCACTGCTGGACTGAGAATAGTCCACCAACCAAAAATATCCAGCCAACAGCGTCCTGTGAGCAGCGTCCTGTGACCACTGATGAAGGACCAAGGATGACTGACACAAACTGTGCAGCAGTAGATGAGCTATCATCTCTGACTTTACATCTACAAAGTGGACTGACAAGGTAGGAGTGTCTAATAGAGTGGACACAGTGTTTAAAAACTCCAGCAGCACTGCTGTGTCTGATCCACTCATACCAGCACAACACACACTAACCACCACCACGTCAGTGTTACTGCAGTGCTGAGAATGATCCACCACCCAAATGGTACCTGCTCTGTGAGGGTCCATGGAGGTCCTGACCATTGAAGAACAGGGTAAAAGGGGGCTAACAAAGTATGCAGAGAAACAGATGGACTACAGTCTGTAATTGTGGAAGTACAAAGTGCACCTATATAGTAAGTGGAGCTGATAAAATGGACAATGAGCATAGAAACAAGGAGGTGGTCATAATGTTTTTTTTTGTTAGGGCCAAAATGGAATGTTCAGTCGCTGATTTTTGTAAAATAAACATATTTAAGGCATCACTCAAAAACCAAAGATTTTAAAAGTCTGAAAAGTGACTCTGAAGTCAGAATGATCCAAACAGAAAATGTGCCGTAACTGTTTTTTCAGTATGTTCAATTCAAATTAACTGTAATTGTGTATTAAAATACACAGACAGAAGTGTGTTCTCTGTAAAGGATCTGTTTACTTATTTTCTCTTACAAAAGCAACAAAATCTCATTTGACCAGGGGCGCCCAAACATTTGCATATGACTATACATGTAAAGGTTATCACACATTTTTTCCAGCATGTTAAACTCAGCAAATAAATAGAAATTGTACACTAAAATTGCCAAAAAATGACATTTTTCTTCTCTGTAGAGTATGTGTTAACTTATGTTCACTTAGAATACCAACCAACTGAAATTTGACCTGGGGTGTTCACATTTTGCAGACATATGTTTGTTACATTTAGGCCTACAGAAATGCAGTTGTTTCTCCTGAAATTTTACAGGGTTGAAGGATAAAATGACCATTTCCCATCACAAAAGGGTTTAAATTACTCTCAGAGTTACATCAATGAATGCCCCAATTGTAACTCTAAACTTAAATTTTCAAGTTATGGCAAGGTAAAAACAACAATTATCTCAGTTGAGTCCTCTACCCTCCCAAATAAGCTTGCTTTTTGAAATGGCGCCAAAAGCACCCCGAGATATCCAGACAAGAAATAAGACGACCAATTCCAGGAGGATCTGCCAAGGTGAGAGATAATGACTGGCTTTGTAAAACAACATCTGCAATTGCAGCATTCCAACTGTAATGTCTGCCACGCTTCTGAAGACAAGTTCAAACATTTCTCACAGTTTGTGACTGACAGAGGC